GTTACTTCCCACGTTTCCTAAGAAACCCTAATTTTAAGACTCCTACAATCACTCTATTTCCTTAATTATTTAGGAAACAAAAATCTGTCCACAATTTTGCAACTGAATTCTGGGCCAGTCGGAGCATATTCATACGTGAACCTCCTCATCAAAGTTGTAGCTCCAAAGGAGTAGATATTTATGTGCTTTTGAATTACTCGATTTGGACAACATATGCTTAAGTTATGGGCTTCTAAAGACTCGGTCCACAGCATAAAATCCTGCTTCTCTTAAGACTTCCAGCCTTGATTTTGGGGTAATTTTCAGAGTCCCAAACGTATTCCGATTCATTTGAACCAGCACTTCCCGAACAGCTTGAAGTGTCCTCTAAAAGTCCATTGAAGATTGCAATTTATTCCATCAGCTCTTGCAACCGAATATTCTGCAAAATATCCAAGAAGGTCTTAAGTCCCAAATTGCTGTAGTTTCCAATTTAAAGCACAGTTTCTTAACATCATCCCATTGAGGTTATATACATTTTATCATCACAATTCAACCTCATCAAACAATAAATTGATTAAATTGACTAGATATCATCGTTATAATCATGCACAAATACAGTCACATCAATAGACGACATATATATTTGAGGGTATTGTAATACTTTTACGATCACCGTTTAATGGAGTGAGAGTTACAGTTTAGTCCATAACCACAGGGGGTGATGTGCTTATTTCCAAATCATAGGGGAGTCATCTGCTCAAGGCACAAACTATGAGGGGATAAAGTTGAATTTGCCCTGATATTTTAAACAAATAAAAATAGTAACATATTCACTAAAAATAGTAACATGTTCAATAAAAATAATAACATGTTCAACAAAAAAAAATAGCAATATGGAACATTGAACAAAATTGAAAACAAAAATAGTACATTCAAACCCATAATCAGAGGAAGAAGCCTCCAATTTTTCTTCATCTAAAAAAATAACACCGAAAAAGTAATAACATTCTCAATTAAAAATAGTAACAGGGTCAATTAGAAAAAATATTAATAGGGTCAATTAGAAAAAATAGTAACATGGTCAATTAGAAAAAATGGGAACATGGTCATCAAAAAAACGTAGTAACATGAAACATTGAAAAATTTTAGGGATTATTTATCAAAAAAATAAAAAAAAAATTGGGTATCAAACTAATAACACATTGAGCAAGTTTTTTACCTTTTTTTTTCGAAAACCAACGACATAGAAGTTCATAATGACTAGAACGCAGTAGAAGATATGGTAATTGTTGATGATGTTCCAAACCCTACTGATTTTGATGCTACGGAGGAAAAAATAATATTTAAAGAGAAAGATTTGTTATAATGGAGTAATGATCTTCTTCTAATGAGAGAAAGAATATAAATTTCAATTTCAATTTAGGAGTGAATTAAGGGATAACAATTTCTAATTTAAGAAATTAATTTAAAACTACTTTCAAAGTCTTTAATGTTTCTATAATTAAACACTATTAAAAGTATTTTTTGGGATTTAAAAAAATAGTGGACTTAAGTACTTATTAGTAAGATAAAAAATAAACTTATTACCAAATAAATTTTTTTAATGGACTCAAGTCATTATAAGTTCATCCAAGAGAACTTAATCCCAATTTTTACTATAATTAAATCAAATAATAGCACCCAACCCATTTATAACCTCTACTTGTAAAAACAGGCATCCAACTCATTAATTTATGAGTGAGGTGACAGATTATGGGTCAAAATGCCACCCCTAGGTACCATCATTAGTTACCCTTGGTTCTCTAGAGGAAACACCATTGGGTTGACATTTCCTTCTTCCATAATTCATGCATGGCATTCATAAGTCTTGCCTAATGCTTGAATAAGGATAATGCAATACTTGTTTTAAATTTTGAACAAAGTCTTGCATCAGTGCACCACTCTTACCACCGAGTGCTGCCTCCACGTGCTCACTTTGTTCCTTTCTAGCCATTATTCTGTCTTGCTTTGTCATTCTTACCATCTTGAGCCAATTTAGTAATGTTGTCCCACTGGACTTGCCAAAAAATGTTGGCACATAATTGATTTCTTTTGAGATCGGCAAATTTAATACCTTAGATAGAATCTTTTCAAAGATTGCTTGAATGAGGTTCATATACTTTGTTTCAAGATTTCATTGGATGAATTCAATCTACGAACTTAAAGAAAGAAGATAATAACAGGGATTAACAAAAGTGAGCATTTTTATTAATCTAAACTGTAATATTGGTTATAAGAGATTGATAAATCAGTCTTAATTACAGCACTAATTTCTATACTAAACTATAACAAGCATTACTCTTCAAAATGTTCAAATCGTAGAAATTTAATGGATTTGATCGTGTCCTTCCCTCTATGATTGATGTGCCTTTTATACGCACCTCTTGCCGACTGTTACGCTAGTTTTCTGGCAATTCCGTACCATCTTCTTTTGCCCCAACTGCTGCCTTCTCCATTTCAAAGACCCAGTCAATCTTGATCTTTTTGTTGATAACTAGTGCCAGAGTAACTAGTCATTCCCTCAAAATAGGAACCTTTCTGTAATTGCTCTTCTTTCAATTTCAAAAGTCAAGTCTACTGACTTATTTCTTCCCTCGTTTATTAAATGACTGCCACGTGGTACACCACTTTGATTGATTATTTTTTGAATATATGTCACTATAAGACATGATCCAGACAAACACTTAAAAAAATTCAACTCGATTAAGTCTCGTAAATTGTATCGAAGATTGTATTACTTTTACTAAACGAATGACTATGTTTTCACATAATTTTTTGAATAGAATATACAACTAAACTAAGAAACTTGCAAAAGCATATATAGTTCAACAGAGAATATATTTACCTAACATAATAAATTGCAGGATCTTGTAGATTATATTCTGATTTTCATATGGTCTGTACTTTTAACAACACTCTGTTTTGGATCTCCATCAACCTCAGATTCTTACGGACAAACTATTCTTAAAGTGTTGCATCAAATATCTAACATGCACCCACTCTAGAGTGCACTCTTCACAAAACTATTCATGTCCGTACTTGTAACAACTCTATGTTTTGGAACTCCATAACAATACCACTCTCATTGATCAGCTTCAGATCTCTGTCTGCATCTTTAAGGAGTTCACTCGTGCCTGCATTTTTTGGGATATGTTCTTTAGTTTTAGGATAACAATGGACAGTGTTGCATTGTGTTGCGTGTTTTTTAAGGCCGTGTAAGTTGTATTGCATCCAAATTGACTCACTACATAAGTCATCCATTTATTCAATTGGTTTACATAATCAACCGAGTTATAAACCAAATCCATCAAGGCTAAACTTAGACCAAACAACTTCGTCTCTATTATCTATTGGATCAACTTGTGGTGTTAAGACTTTAATTACTGTAGTGTGTCAAGTTCGTGTCATGTCAAATTTAGTTTAACCTATACCCGACTTGTGTATTAAAAGAGTCTAAGGGGCCAATCCACATCAGCCAAAATATGTTCAGATTAAATCCAAATCCAATAGTTTTGTTTTGCGTTAGATTGACAGATTGTCACAAATAATCAATTATCTTAGATTTAAAAAAAATATAGAAACAATATGACTTTAAAGGAAATTGAACTTTTGATAGGTGGTGGCCCTGCTGACGCATATTACAGAAGTAGCTTATCGATTACAGATTACTAGAGAATTGATTGACATCGCTGTCTAGAATCGATTATGGTCGGTGGCTATGAGTGTTTGGCAAATAAGCTGTAAAAATATAGTCTCATGGTCAAAAGACCAGAAAAACTGGACTGCCTCTATGTAGGAATAAATTGTACCAAATTATTCTACTTTCTCAACACAAAATTTATGAATAATCAATAGCGGTGGCGAACGATTAGTATGGGGTACCGAACATTTTTAGTTCCGCACTATAAAATACATAGCAGTTAGTTCCAACTTGTTTTCGTGTTTTGGACCCATTTTAAGAGTTTAAGATCGATCTCTATAATGCACCCCAAAAGATTGTAAATTCCTCCCGAAATGGCATATCTCTACTCAAAAAATTATTTTTTTAGAATCTATAATAATACGATCGGTTGAAATTTCTTGTCAAAACTTGACTCCAAAATATTATATTTTGAACCAAAAAGATAGTGAACCTATATCAAACTCCGACTATCAACAGCTTAATTCTCTATACTTCATTATAAACCCCAATATTATGCAATAGACACAAGAATATGTCTCACACAATATGCCTTTTTTAATACCACAATCTCTTCTTTTCACAGTAGACTTTTCAAAACATAATTTCAAATAAGCAGAAGTCAAATGTAATCTTCTGAATTCCTGGAAAAACAGATGACATGGAGAAAAAATTGTCTGAATTCAAATTATTGTCTGGTCCTTTACTCGGTTTTTGAAACTTGCATCTTACACAAACTCTACTTGTCACAGACCAACCCTTCAACACGGTATAAAGAAAAAACACCATAAGGAAGACAAATGCAATGAATTGAATTAAATTTGGTACGGCATCGGTACTATAACGAAAATCCTTGTAAACCGTAGATTTTCTCTTCTTGAGTAGTGTTGTGAGGTGTTGTTATGTTGATCGTAAAAATAATAATATGTAAAAACTTCACTTGTGACTTTAATTGGTGAAAAATAGGAAGTATTGTATCGAAAATATGGTTGCACCCTAAATGGAAAGATGAAGGTCCTTCACACACTTGCAAACGTGGAAGCTAGAGTGCTGAGGGTGACAACCACCATTTAATAAACCCATTCAAGTTTCCAAACCACAATGAGATGACCACAAACCTTGGGTGTTATTTCAAGCAAATAGACCAAGTCACCTCTGAGCTGAATATTGTTGAATTCCACATCAATCTTTTAATTACAAGATCAAAAGTTCAAGTAACAAAAATCTTTCAAGGAAAATGAAGAATTTTCTTTGCAATTATAAGGGTATTGAAACCCACAAAACTTACATGCTTCATCCCCTATTTTGCTGGATGAAGCAACAAAAAAATGTATACATGATTGAAGTAGAAAAAAAAAATGTCTAGAATTCCTATGGAAAAGAATGGCAAAAATTTTCTCTCATTCTTTTCTATTCACTCAAAAGAATGGACTAATCAGACAATTAATCTTCTCTGATTAATCAGGATGGATCACCAATTGAAGATTTTGAGGTTGTTTTACACAATGGAGAGGACTGTGTTCTCAAAGGTAGACTGATTCTTTGACACAAATTCTCTTTCTCTAGACTGGTGGCCGCCTGCATCTCTCTCCCCAATCCGGTTGGTGTACATACCCGAGGAGAGAAGTTTAATCTGAGACAGCGAGCGCTTCTTGGAGACAAGTTCACTTGTTCCAGAGCATGGGATTGGAGCTCTGAGGGGTAGTCCCTCAAACAACCAATTCGCGGTCCAGCTCCCGTGCTCCATTTGCAAGACAATTGCTTCCCCAATTGATATGATTTCAGCTCTTTATGTGAATTAATCCTCTGCTGAATAGATTCTTCTGGAATCGCCGCTTCTATTGTTTCTTCGTGTTCTTCATCAGACAAGTTCTCCTTCGCTACCTCGTAAGTTTGTTCTAAAGCAAATGATTCTTCTGCTGTTTCATATCTGTCCAATGGGGATTCCATCGTGAAACTGCTGGTACTTGACTCAACAGGTTGATTCTCAGTCTTAAATTTCTCCAGCAACTCAGCCTTGTTTGGTATTTGAAGATTGATCAATTTTCTACTACATCGGTGAGATGGCCTCGACTTAGATGACTCCAATGCAACAGCAGTCCCTTTTTCTGTCGAGCTAAATTCCTCTGAAATCAACTCCAGGACATCAGTCTCTTCTGTCTCCAAGCCATCCTTTTCAGCCGAATCATCTTCAGATGAGATGCTTCTCAAGTGCCCACTTCTCTTCATGCCAATGGAGTTGTCTTCTTCATCCATCGAATCCATCTGAGATTATATAGATGGGAAATCAATAAGTATCTGAGCATTTAATTCGAGAAGGAAACTGAGAAGCAACAGCAAATATTACAAGCATTATTCCTACCTTAACATCAGTGAGATCCAAATTGCTCTCCCTGAGAAATGAAATGAAGTCCTGGAAATTTTCTGGAGTAGGCTGATAGTGGCCACTGTGAGGCCAGACTGCCTGTTGAAAAATTGATATACAAATCGTCATCAATTAACATAGTTGTAAATAATCATCTGCAAATCCTCTAACGTGATATGGAAATTTGAATTTTCATGCAGTTTCATATTGTAATTATACCTTTAGTATGCCTTCTTCAACAACCATTCTCCCCGCTGCAGATGTGGCACCACCAGCCAAGAAGCTGGAGTGCTGAAATGTGCCTTTCTTTTTCTTGCCAACATACAAGGTCCTAGAGGTGCTGAGGACAAAAATCCACTTAGCAGCCTTGGTTTCCCCAGTGGTGTCAAGCAGTTCCCCTGTTTGCTTGTAGAAGAGCTTCCCGTCCTCCACAAGAACTTCATAAGCCTTCCGTTCCATCTGTGAGAAGAAAAGAAGATATTATCAGTATGATACTCCGGGGAGAAACATTCAAACACAGATTTTTGAAGGGATTAAAAGGGACTCACCGGACCAAGATACTTGATGCACTGCTGCTGAAGTTTGGAGCGCGGACATTTTTCGACAAGATTCACCTCCTTCCCTTCTCCTATATCTAGCCTGCATTGAATCGGCAGAGTTAATACCACAACTGGAATTCTAGACGTCAAAGTATATCATTTCTTAATGAAGATTTCTCTGTTGGAGAAAATTCTCAAAATTTACCAGTAAAAGAAGGGCTCTTTGCTTTCAGAATGCAGCCATTTAACATAATAGAAGTGGAGATTGTGTCCATAGCGATGTCGTGGATCAATCTGCATTACACAAAATAACATATTTGAATAAATATCAGCACATGATGGAATGGAAAAAATAAAATAAAATCATAAAGAAGTACACTTACTGCCTCAAGCCAGTGCTGCAAAGCAAGTTTCTGGGCTTTACCATTCTTTGATAAGCCTTTCCCAACCTGAAAAATTAATAAAAAACAGTAAATGCATAAATTCTTTTCTTTTATAAATCTAAACATACACTCTCACAGAAACAAAAAAAAAAAAAGATTTAAATTTACCTTGGCAGCTCTTGTTCTTGCTCTCGACCAGCGTGAAATGGCAGTCTCATGTTTCTCAAGATCAAAGAATGATATAGAACTATGCTTGAGTTCTGCGAAATCTAACAGCTTCCACCTGCAATGATTATAAAAAATTGGGATTAGAATAGTAAGTAGAAAAAGCATATAAACTTCAAACATTTGAGGAAAAGATAGGAGAAATGTTTAAGCAGTAATTAATACAAACCAGCTCTGCTCAACTAGAACTGCACAATCTGCTAGCTTTCTTCTTGTCCTAAAGCTTTTGTACACTTTCTGCAACTTTATCGCAGCTTTGTGTTTGGGGTTGCTCGAATCAAAAACAGGCAACTGTGCAATTTTCTTAGACACTTTTTCTATTTTCAGTGATTGATCATCTATGTCTTCCGTGACAGCATTGTTTTCTTCTGGTGGAGGAGCTTCAATCGAACCCTTTATTCCAGGTTCTCTTCTTTTAAAGCTAACAGATCCTTTTACCAGCATATTTCCATTACCTATTGGTTGCATTATCCTCGATTCAGAGTCAAGGACCTTGAAGCTGATGGATTGCACCGGAGTCTTCTCTTCATTATCCAAAAAACTGAAAGTTTTTACAATGATAGATTCAAAACCATTCTCAAAGTCATTATAAGCAGCAAATGGGCATGAAAAAGGTATCCCCATGCGACTTCAGATGGTATTTTGAACAGCCTACCAAGCCTGGATTCCTGTTAAGATAAACGATCACAACTGAATAATAGAATCTCGGGATAAAACAAAATGTCATATAGCAAAAAGACTAAGCTATCATGCATATGAACTGTGAAATCTTCCAAATCGAGTGGAGTTGTAATCAAATTGTGCTAACAACCCAATCAAAGATACATTTACCCAAAAAAGGAAAAACAACCCAATCAAAGGAAGAAGAAGGATCCAGAGTAACAAAATCCATTGGTTATAAGGTTTTTACGTTTTATTGTTATTTTTTCTGCAAATAAAGAATATAAAAGCATTAAATGAACATACTTCCAACTAAAACTAGTCGGCTACATAAATACCACAAGACCCATTCACCTGAATATCATCATCATTCTCTATGATAAATATATAGATGAAGACAAGCTATACAGGGCACAAATGAGCCGTAAAATCACTCAGATCAAGAAATATACTACCCATTCAGCTGAAAATCGAATGCTTCCAAAGATCTATCTACCCATCTGCCAGAAACCAATTTTTCAAACAAAACGCATGAGAAGAAAATTTTTCATTTCAAGAAAATCGAGACCACCAAAAGAAGTTCTAAAAGACATATTTCGTTTGAATGGCATTACCATATAACAGATAGAGAAGCTGAATAATTGAAGCAAGAAATATCTGTATAAACAAGCATTAAGAGCAAGTTCATACAGAACTAATTCGTAAGATATAATAATTCAAACGAGATTGGATACAAGCACCCCACAAGACCCATGCATCAATTGACATTTTTATCAAATAAACAAGAAAAGCATAGCTATTGCATATATACATTTAAATCTTTCAATAACAAGAATTAGATCGCAAGCTTGCCGACAAACTCATCAAGCGAAGACCAAGGATTTGCATAATCCATTTGTTTAAAAAACCCAAAATTCAACTACCATAATCCGGAATCAAGGCCAAATACAGTAATTTCAGAAGACTGGTTGAATAACAAATGTTATAGACACATAGAAGAATGCCACCATTATGTTTAGAGGAATCCAGGAGCATAGAAAGAAAAAATCCACAGAACTTGCAGAGAAATTTAAAAGAGGACTTTACCTCAATGTGAGAGACTTCAATTGTATGAACCGAGAATTGTGGGGGAGAGAGAGAGAGAGAGATTGTTGGGACGGTGCTAATGGATTGGGAAGCCGGAATGCATGGTCTGAGAGAGGATTTTATCGGCTAAATGATAATGGATTCCCTTCTTCTCTTACCAAAGTGCTTTTCAAAGTTCGCATAGAAATAAACATGGTATCTTCGGTCCCCTGATTACTTGTATTTATAGGTGGAATGGGCAGACACGCTTTTTTTATTTTGTGTGGGGTGCGTTGTGGGGGTAGGAGTGAGGTTGGGAGAGACTCCAAACCAGGCACGTGGAACGGACTTTAGGGGACGAAGTACTGTTTGTCATGACGTAGATTTTAGGAGTGTCATGTTTAAGGTGTTTTGTTTTAAATTTTTTGTATATAATAATTGGGAAAAATTACACCCGAAATTATTAAAATTTATTGCTTAATCATTTAGATTCCTAATATTTAAAATATTATATACAAATTATCTAAGTTTTATACGCGCGCAACATTTAGACCATGTCATCAATATCCGTTAGTATATTTATTAGTGAATTACATCTAGAATTTCTGAAATTTGTAAGCGTATAACACTTAAACTTCTCAAGTTTAAAATAATATATTTGAACCTTTTAATAGTTACAGAACTAATAGAATCTATTAAGCGACAAAATTACCCCAATTAAAGATAAAAGACGGTATTCATTACAGTTTGATCTCTTATTTGATTTTTTTATTTTATTCTAATAGATAGTATAATTGTATATAAATGAGAGTTGAGTTGAGTTCTTTGATATAGTTATACTGATTACTATTTTTTCTTCAAAAAATTGAGATTTTGTTTGGGTTATCTATCAATGGATGATATGCTGTAACATGCAAATATGTTGATTAGTCTTATTTTATATATTTGTATTTGATAATGGAAAAATTAACTTAAGGTGAAAAGTCCATTTAGTTCAAGATACTCCAGGCATGTCACTCTCAGCTTCTAAACGTATTTCTTACCTTTGAGTCACTTACTAATTTAGGCATCAAAAAATCGACCCTCGAAGCTTCCTTCGGTCTCTGACTTGTTTTTCTGATGATCAAAGTCCAACAAACTGACGTGGAGGTCATCTAAATTTTGGCATCAACAATAGTAATTATGATTTTTTTTAAGAAAAAAAATAGATTTTTATTTTTATTTTATTTCAATAAATGACATAATAGAACATGAATCTTTGTTATAAATTTAAAATATTTGATATTCTATCTTTAATTGGAATATTTTATGTTTAAATGTAATATTTTAAACTTGAGAAGTTTAAGTATTATACTCGTTAAATAGGTATAGATATAACTTAGTAACGAATATTTCTAGCGGATATTAACGATAGGGGTCAATGTGCTACGCGAATACAAACTCAAATTTAATAGATGACAAATTAAAATTTATATAAGTGTGAAATCTGAGTAATATTTTGAGTTTTTCTTTATTGAGTATGAGTTTAAATAAACAATTAGGGCTTATTTTTATTTTTATTTTACTTAAATTTAAATTTGAGTAAAAATTAGAGATTCTGTAAACTAAAACTCCATCATATCCAAATATTTGCAATATCAAATGATTTTTTTTACAAGGATTTATACAATATAGGATCAAGACAATAGAAAAAAATCGGTTAATCATGTTTTACAATAACTCTACATGTTTATTATTCTCGTATTGTTTTTAATTTTTGTTTAAAATTAATTAATTTTAACCCGCTAAATTCATGTTGGGTTTGTGTGTGATGAAATATGTCACACTTATTGTAGATAATTTCAATACATCTTGTTCTCAATGTTAATTGTATACTTTAAATCTAAATTGCATCTAGGGATGTCAATGGACCGAAGCGGGAGCGGGGGGTATAGTCTTCATCCCCATACCCGCTTAAAAAATATTCGTCCATCTCTAGTTCACCCCCGCTAACAGGGATAATTTTTATCCTCATCCCCGTCCGTGGATAAATTTATAATCCCCGTCTCCGTCCCCATCCCCGCTTCCCCCGTACCCGCTCAAGCCCAAGTTCAAGCCCAAGCCCAAGCCCAAGCCCAAGCTTAAATCTAAGTTCAAGCCAACATAATCTAAAATTTTAAATAAATTCAACATTTTAAATAATTCAACAACATTCTAAATAATATAACATAATCTAAAACAACATAATGTAGCATAACATATTCGAACATAATACAAACAACAAATGTCCAAAATACTACTTAAATTTGATATAATTCAACATTACACAATATAACACAAATTCAAATAAATTGTCCAATCTAGGTTTAAAAGCAAAAGAACAAAAAAGTTTATTTCAGATGACTAATCTAACACAAGCAAGTAAGTAAAATAGGATGAGCAATTACCTTGATGAAGGGTTACTGATTTCCAGATCCTTGCACTGGATCAGCACCTAGATGCTACTACTGCTGCTTTATCTGAAAAAGGAGATTAGCAACAAGTTGCAGCGTTGATCGATATCGCTTGTTCTTATCCTCAAATTCTGATGTTCCCTGATCAGATCCATATGGTGCAGACTGAAGCTGTTGCACCTGATTCATGACATCCAAATTGACTTGGTCAGACACCACTGGCATGACAGTATGCTGCTCTGAAAAACTAGAACCATGAACCACATTGGGCAATGTAACAGCATTAAGGGGTTGTTGGACTGTTGAACCCTGTAACGTAAAACCGCCTGTATCATAGCCCATCCCATTGCTCGTCTGGGAATCCTGCAGCATCACTTGCTGATGCTGATGGTTAAGCTGCGGAGAGACAGCAAACTGTGCACTCGCTGGGATTGCAAAATTAGCCAATGGCTTAGATGAAACTCCTCCGTTATGAGGCACAACAGTAGAAGTTAATAAAGGCCTCAATGTGGAAGATCCCACGATTGGTTGGGCACTTTCTGAAAGGGAGAATTTTTCTTTGGCAGGTAAGAAAAAAGACAGAGTGGCAATGAGTTCCGGTGTCAAAGTAACTCCAGCTTGAGACACTGATATGCTAGTAACTGGCAAAATCGGATGCACATGATTCATGGAATTGATTGTCAGATGACCAAGTGGGTTTGAAAGGGTGTACCGTGTATCTAACTTGATGCGGGAACTAGGCCAAGCAACAACACCTGGCGGCTAGCAATATCGGCTGGGAGCTTCTCATAGATCAACTGCCACAACAATGTTGGAGAAATGAATGAGAGAGAAAGAAATGACTCGATGGAGGCTAGGGATGAAAATTTTGAAGGCAGCTCAGGCAAGCGGCTGAGAGAGGAAGATGAGAGTAAATTTGGGGCTTAGGGTTTTAAGTGGGAGTATTTATATATATATTTAACGGGTATATCGGGGACGGGGACGGGGACGGGGACAGGGACGGGAACGGGGCGGGGGCGAGGTGGGGCGGGGATAAGAGTAAGTTCATTCTCGCCTTCATTCCCGCACAGATTTATATTGGTATTTTTGTATACGTCCACCGTCCAATACGTATAGTTCATCTCTGATCCAAACAGAACAGATTTAGACGAATACCCATTTTTTTTGATCCATTATCATCCCTAATTGCATCCATAATTTTCAAAATGGGTTCACCGTTAGTATAGAGTGATTTAGGGGACCGGAGAGATAACTCCTAATGTCCAAAAAACCCTCTTAAAATAATATAATATCCGTTAAATAACTTTTACAATGTCAAAAAGTTGCACCCGTAATTATCACCCTTATGATTGGTCCAAACAATTATCCTTTGGATAATTACTAGACATGTTCATTCCCTCTTTCAAAACTTTTCTAGGGAGATGGGATTGAAATTTCTAGTAATTTCAATCTTCAATTCAACTGAAGTGACAATTTGACCTATTCTAGTAATCGCCACTGCTTATGTAATATGGTGGCCTTTGACGGATTGATCTCCAAGTAATTGGTGAAGTAGCTTAGCTTGCAAGCTGTTAAGCGGTCCCACAAAATTGCTAATATCTATAAACAAACATATAATGGATTAAATTACATTCACATCCTTCAAGATTTAGTGAAAATACACTTCATCGCACGAGTTTGTACAATTACACAAGGCCCTCATAATGTTAATATATTATCTTTTTGTCATTTTTCATTTTACCTGAATACCATCTTAGTTTTGGCAAAAGATGGTTAAATTGAACAAAAGAAAATGATAAATAAGAATAAGGGAAGGGATCGAGACTGTCGAATTGTGATATTTGACAGACTTAAAAGGAGTGAGAAAAGGGAGACAATCAATGTTGTTTTTATTTTGCAAGGGCACAATTGGTATTATACAAAAAAATAAAGTAAATTTATTAGCCTTTGACGGTCTGTTGAGGACCAAGGGACTGACCTTCAGTTGATTTTAGACCCAAGAGAATGAATATGAACTCTGAATTTATAAGGGATGGAATGTATTTTATTAAATCTCGAAGGATAATAGTGTAAATTATGAAAATCTTGTGGTGATTGGGAAATGACGGTGATGTAATGGCATACGTGGTGGTTTGGATGTGTAAGATTTGAACATTGGAATTGATAAGTTTGCTCGATATTCAATTGAATATTTAGAAAGCGCAAGGTCAAAGTCATTGCTGAAACTTCCTTGCATTCTCCATGGCATTAGGGTGACCTAGACCCAGTTGTTGACTACGGATGTTCTATAAAGAAGGGGTGTATGATGATTTAATAAGAACAAAAACCTTTTAGATAAGTCTAAAGACTCACATACTTTTAACCTGTGACAAGTAACATTCACGGTTGCCTATGTATGGTAACACTGTGATACCTTAGTTTTACCTGCCTAACAAATATTGATTCAAAATATATCGGTTGATTCATATTTGATTTGATGTCTTTGGATTTGATATATTTTTATTTTTGTGTAAACCCTCCCTCCCTCCCCCCTCCTCCCAAAAAAATATTCACGCGAATCATTTAAAATATCTAGAGTCAACTTTAAACTGTTTGAGTCATTACAATTAAATTGATCAATCCTGATTCTGTCGCCATATAGTGTGAATCATTTGTTATTTTAAACTTTTTGTGATATTTTAATCGATGTGTCTCAATGTCTTTTTTAATCTGGAGTGGAGCGATAAATGAACAAGAATACACAATAAATAATGCTTGAGGAGGGCTCTGCATGTATTTCAATTTGCTATAGCAAATACTAAATGTTGAGTCTTAGGCTTTTTTCAACTACTAGAAAGGTCTCTTAACCTCAGATTTTGAAATCTCAAACCTCCTCTAGAAAGATCTGTAGTACCATGGCTATACTTAGCAAAGTTTGGCCTTCCAACCTGTTCAAAGACACCTCAGATAACAATTGGTCTGGAAAACAAATTGGATTGACCCCAAAATACCCAGTTCTGTGATGCACTAAATATCATATTTTCAATACTAAAAATCTTGTATTAATTTGTAACCAATTGTTGCTATCTAGATTATATATTGAAGCATGCAAAATGACTCAGTAAAAATCTTTAAAAAAAGAGCAACACAACGCATAATATTTCTGTAATTGTGCAGTTTGAAAAGAGTAAGAGACATGTGTTTTTACCCTTTATACGTACTAATTTTGTAACTCGCGTATTATCTAAACCACAATAAAAATTTTATGAATTCATCGAGACCCACCCTCAAAATTTAGAAACCATGTTTAATTAAAATTTTGAGGTCTTACTAGCAGTTTTGGTTGTTATATGGGTAATTGACCTCTTATACTAAAGATCCACGATGCCCAATTCTTAGTTTTTTTTTTTTTTTAATTTTGATAACCATGAATTTTTCTAAGAAATTACGTCATTGGATAACCATTGAATTTTTCTAGTAAACCAATTACTTGCAATCACCCACTTACCACATATATCAGTTAAAATTAAGAGTGATTAGTGAGAGTCAAACTTAGATCGTTAGTTAATCTCTCACCACTGAGTTTATTTATACCGATAATCCTACTTTCGGTGGTTACATAACAACCATACAAAAAAGTGACATCCTTGGTGCAAGCCTACAATACAAAATTTGTAGTCCTAGAGTAATTAATTATTAACCAAATCCCCAATCAGAATGAAAAGTTCTCTCTCTCTCTCTCTCTCTCTCTATATATATATGTAAGCATGAAATGCAGGGTTGTTATTAGAATTATATTTTCACAGTGATAGAGCACGATTGTATGGTGACTGACTCATGCATCTAAGCATGTGTGAACTGTGACTTCTGTGAAGCTCATAACGAGTAGCCGAAGTATCAAATTAACAACCCAAAACCGACCAAAAATGTGAGGCATGTCTTGGGAAAGTACCATGTTTTCCATACAAGTATACATAACGCGTAGCCGAAAAATCAGACAACAAAAGGCTGGGTTTAAACAGTCTGTGGTTCTCACAAAACAAACAAACATTAATCTTAGGGATATAATTTGAAGACATAATAAATTATGACTATTAGATTGATAGTGCTACAATTGAAATATTGATAAATCCAAGCGTAAGTTGTTGTAAAATAATATTATACTCAAAAGTCAGAGATTGTACCACATGGAATTAGGAAAGACTTAGAACACAAGTAAAAATAAAATAAAATTACTTTGAAAATTGTTTGTAGATTTGTTTGTTTTTTTTTTTTTTGTTCAGGGATTTGTTTGTTCAAAAGAACAAAAATTGAGTGTTAAAAAACATGAATTTGAAGTATTAAAGCATCGAAATACCCCTTCAATTTTATACAACAATTATCAATGATTCGAAAATTGAGTGTTAAAAACACATGAATTTGAAATACTAAAGCATCAGGATACCCTTTCAATTTCACACAACAATTATTAATAATTCAGTTTTCGAACTCAATTTAGAATCAATTAAAGAGTGATCTTTATCGGAATATATAACAGTGATAATGTTGAAAACATCAAAGTTATAATTAATAAATTATATAAATAAATATATAAATTTAACTATATATCACAAGCATTCACAGTACCCGAAGTCTGATAAATCAAGTTTTCAATTATAAATAATAAATCAACTATACTATAAAAATTCTAATTAATTAATTCAAGTATGAAAAATCAGTTATTTAACTCGTAAGGAATCTCAAATATTCAATATACATGGCACAATGAATCAAACGATTTTATAGAGTAAAAAATTTATTAAAATACAAGAATTAAATTAAATAAATAAATTATACATTAAAAGAATATTGGATAAAAAAAATACAGTGTTTTATTAGAAGTATACCCCCTAATTTTTATCGGAGATTTAGCCATCTTTAGACATGAAAAAAATACAAAAATATGTAGAAGATGGGGATCTAGATTTCTCTCATCCTAAAGGAAAGAACATATATTTATATTAAGGAGGCTAGGATCGGCCTTAGAACAAGTACTTGATAAATAAGAGTTTTTTTAAGTCGAAACTCGTGTATCAAATCTTGGGATAGGTACTGTATCTGCCCAAAATTCAAAATTAATTTTTATGATTCGTTTGATAACGTTTACGGTTTTTAATTTTCTAAAAAACGAAAAATAGAATCAAAAAACAAAAAATATTTTTTTCTCATTTTTGAAAATCGCCCCTCGTTTACAAAACGATGACAAAAAAAAAATAAAAATGATTATCAAACAAGTTTTTTTCTTGTTTTCTCTAAATATGAAAAAAAAAACGAAAAAAAAAAACATAAACATTAACAAACGGGACCTACATAATTAAAGGTCGATTCAAGAAATGTTCATAAAATAAAATTTTGTATCTCTTGAAGTTTTTCCAACGTTACAAAAATTAGACTAATCAAATATCGGAGTAAAAAGTTATGACCAAAATATAGAAGATGCATCAAAAAATTTTCATCTAGAATATTTTTTTAATCCAACTCTAAATGAGTGTTCTATTAACTTGAATTCGCATAAAGATTAAATTATTGTCTTATCTTCAAATTTTTATATCTAAATCTTGATCATTCAATTCTTATCAAATATCTTTTTATCAGTTGTGGTCCTTCTTCTAGTGTTTGATTCACTTATCCTATCCATTATTATTTTAAATCAACAAAATTATCTGCAAAATAAATCAAACAATATCATGTTAGAAAGTCAAATAATCTAATATGTTTAATCACAAATAATCTACAATTAATCAACATTAAATACCAACCAACCAAACTAAATTTTATG